AAATCTGGGAAGAAATTATTGCAATGAACCTGCAGTCACTTATTCTGACAAATCAAGCCCACTCTCACCTAGATGTTCATTTCCAGCATCCTGGGCCATTCCCTACCATTTGTAGGGAATAAATGGGAATTCCCTACCATTTGTAGGGAATAAATATAAGGAAGTTTTAATCCTTCCCAAGAGCTGTTTGCTGAGGAGCTGGGAGGCAGCACCTGGATTAATGAGGCACAGGGAATGTCTCTGTTAATGACATCCACGGGGCTCCGGAGGAAAACAAGGAATTCACCGAAATTTAGGAGCTGTGCTCAAGCCAAAAGGGAGAGAAAACCAAGGGAAACCTTAACAATGGGAAGGGAGGGGAAAAAAAGGGAAAAAATCGATAGCAACTGCCTTTGGAGGAAGAAGGATGCAAGGGGCTGGAACAAAGCAGGGCAGGAACAGCTGGAGGTGCCCAGGAGCCGTTTGTGCCGGTCCCACACCCCGTTAACCCTTTCTGCACACCACGGTGAGGGATTTGGGGATCACCCCATCCCTCCATGAGCCCAGATTATCTCCAGGCACTATCCAGCCTGGCTTTGGATGCTTCAGGGATGGGCAATTCTGGGCCACAGAATCTGTATCAACCTGGAATGGCCAAAATAAAAATCCCACTGGGAATCCAGGAGCTCCCCCATGCCAAGATATCCCTCCTTGTTCACCCCACAGGAAATTCCACCCAGGACAGGCTGGGAAAGATCCACATTAGCAATCTGGAATGTGACAGCTTGATCCTCTGCCTCAAACCCCTAAAATCCCCCAAACTCCGAGAAATTCCAGGCTGGCCAAGCCAAGCCTCAGGCCCAGCAGCATCCCCTCTGGGAGCACACCTGGAAGGGGGGATTTCATCTGGCTGTGCCCGTTTGGTGTTGTGTCCCCGTTAATCACAGCCCGGGCTGACACGCAGATCCATTCTCCTGACAGGGCCCTTGATCACCTATCACAGGCACAAAATTAATAACCTCCATGGCCCCGCCAGGAAAACACAGCCGGGCTGCCAGGAGGACAAAAACCACTGGGAGTGCAGCTGGAAAAATCCCAGTTCAGCCTGATGGAACCACAGGATATATCCCCATCTCAATGTCCCAGCGTAAGCCCCAGAGCCCAGGGTGATGGAAGCAGAGGGGGGAAGTGCCCAAACCCCCCTGGTTTGCTGCAGTTAACACCCAGCAGCACGTGGCTCCCCAGCTCCCCTTAATTGGCTTTGCACACTTCTTGGGGAAATTAATTCCAGCCCAGCTTACAATAACAGGATTAAAGGCCCAGGAGATTCTCTCTGGGGTGAGCTGCACAGGGATCCCCGGGTGTGGGTGAAGGAGAGGGGCACTGCAGAGCCAGGAACCCGCCCCAAAACCCAGCCTGGGCCCACAGCCCTGCCCTCAACAGCCCTGAACCCCCGGGGCAGCCCCTACTCCGGGGTGTAGCTACACCAGGCTCAGCACTCACACACAGAAACACTGGGAACAGACATTTCACACGGATAATCACTGGCTCAGCACACACACAGAGCTGTGAGGGCTCTCTCCCAATAACCAGGAGTGAAAACATTGCTCAGGAATGCCGGTGACAAGGGAAACGCAGGAACAGGAGGAGATTTTACAAACCCTGGGCCATTGCTGGGTGCACAGCGCCCTCTGCTGGTCCCGCAGAGAACGGCAGCCTGGCAGGGAGAATTTGGGAATTTCTCCCTCACAGCCCATCCTCTGTTATCTCTGCCATCATAACTCACTGCCCATTCCTCATCTCTAATACAACAACCAGTGCTCTGGAATATCTGAAATTCGAAATTGGGAATCATTGAATGGCAGAGCTCTTGAGGCGCTGGGAGTTGTCATGCATTAGAAATTACAGCTCAATTCCTTGATCTGCTCATTGCTAATGGGATCCCAATATGTAAGAGTCTGTAGACCAATGATCTTTAATATTGGATTTGAAATTTAGTGGCAGCTTCCCAACAGGATCACTTGGAACAAACAGTGATGAGTAAGAATTTGGAGTAGTTACAGCCCAAATAAAATTAAAGAAAAAAAAAAAACCACACACACACTTCCACCAGATTGCTGATGTGCAAGAATGGGATTGTGGAGCTTCAGAGTCACTGGCATCAATTTACCCACAAAATTTACCCGCAAAAATGGACCCACAAATCAAAAAATACCATTTCAGAAGGGCTTTAATGCCAGCAGTCCTGGAGCTCAGGGAACCACCCCAAAAGGAAAATGCAGGAACCCAGGTTATTAAAATTCACACTGCTACAAGCTCAACAGGAGCAACTCAAAATTAAAACAGCACTTACCATTTGTTACAGGGTTTCCCTCTGAAAGATTTGATTTCTCCCAATAAAACAGTTGTAATGTCACACAGAACAAATAACAAATCACTCTGGAACTCATTGGAAGTTACCCAAAATCAGAAAGTCTGTCATTTACACAATTCAAAATATAACCAATATATAATATATATATATAGGGTATATGTATTATATACCCAATATATGTTATAGTATGTCCAATTATATACAATATAATTATACCCAATATATATTATATATATTAACATATATAATATGTAATTGGCATATATTACATATAATATAAGCCAATTCACCAAATTCTCAAATTCTGATTCTGATCACTGGAGCCAGGAGAATTTATGCTCAACTGGGAAAAAATGCTGCTGGCCACGTGTGAATTATTTAAACAAACATTCGGTCTGTTTTTAGTTACCCAAAAAAGCCTTTCAGGCATTAAAAGGAGACTTGAGGAGAGCCCAGATTTTCTAAGTAAAACCCACTGGAGTGTATTAAGGATTTTCAGCTAAAATGTTTCACTCTCCCTAAGTTCTGAGGTGCAAATCCTGTTAGGAAATGACCTTGATAAGTGGAAGCTTTTGGGGAATCCCAAGTTGGAAAAGATCCTGTTGAGGGAAAAATAAGAATTTTTTTCTGCAGTCCCAATACAAAGCTCAGTGTATGCCCTGAACCCAAAACGCAGCCCCCTTGGATCAGATCCCCCCTAGAACAGATGATTCGGGGAACAGTTATGGCTGTGGGCAGTGCGAGGAGAGCATTAACGAAGCGCATTAATTATCCTGGTGACATTAACGATGTGAGGGCTCACCTGCAGCGATGTCATCGTCCGCCAGGTCGTGCTCCTCCTCCTGGGCCTTGGCCTCAGCCCCTGTGGGCTCTGTGGTGGCAGCTGTGCCCTGCAGGGCCTCTGTGGGCACGCCAGCTGTGGGGACGGGACACGGGGACACCGATGGAAGGGCATTGCCAGGGAAACAGCTCCTGGAAATGCTCTGAGGGCAGGGGGAATCTCAGCCCCGATGGATGGCTGGGAATGTGGGGTTCCCTCATGGATAACTGGGAATGTGGGGTTCGCTCATGGATAACTGGGGATGTGGGGTTCCCTCAATGGATAACTGGGGATGCGGGGTTCCCTCATGGGTAACTGGGGATGTGGGGTTCCTGCATGGATAACTGGGAATGTGGGGTTCCATCATGGATAACTGGGAATGTGGGGTTCCCTCATGGATAATTGGGAATGTGGGGTTCCCTCATGGCTGACTGGGGATGTGGGGCTCCCTCATGGATAACTGGGAATGTGGGGTTCCCTCATGGATAACAGTGAATGTGGGGTTCCCTCATGGATAATTGGGAATGTGGGGTTCCATCATGGATGACTGGGAATGTGGGGTTCCCTCATGGATAACAGGGAATGTGGGGTTCCCTCATGGATGACTGGGGATGTGGGGTTCCATCATGGATAACAGGGAATGTGGGGTTCCATCGGGGATGACTGGGGATGTGGGGTTCCCTCAGTGGATAACTGGGAATGCGGGGTTCCTTCAATGGATAACTGGGAATGTGGGGTTCCCTCAATGATAACTGGGAATGTGGGGTTCCCTCAGTGGATAACTGGGAATGTGGGGTTCCCTCATGGATAACTGGGGATGTGGAGTTCCTGCATGGCTAACTGGGGATGTGGGGTTCCCAGGCCCTGTCCCTGGATGGATGGCTGTCCCTAAGGGTTCCCATGTCCCTCAATGACTGACTGTCCCTAAGGGTGCCCATGTCCCTGGATGGATGGCTGTCCCTAAGGGTCCCCATGTCCCTGGATGGATGG